GGTGGAAGCGGGAGCCGCGTGCAGGCAGGCAAAAGCTCTAAATGCCTGTAATTCCTCAGAAATTTGGTCTTTAAAAAAAACGAGTTCAGAATGTTGAAATATAAGATCTTATGTTTGTTCAAAGGCTGTCTGTCTGCTAGACAGAGGTTTCCTATGTGTGATTCCATCCCTTTTCCCCGAGACTGCCCTACCTGAGCTGCCTGGTCAGGGAAGCGCCGTAAGTCCTATTGACATGACTTTTTGCTACCACGTGGTTCGCCAATGAAATCTGGGGACCTGGGTTCTAACTTGTGTGACTTTCTGAACCTCTGTGTGTCCCCATTTCCAAAATGTATCTATTGAGCAAGATTTGTTCTTTCTGGACATGTGGACTTTCATAGACCAGTACATTTTCAAAAGTAAATTTATAGGACCACTGCAAGATTATCCTATCTTTATTTCACCAAGTAAGGACATTAGAGAAGCAACTCCCATCCCCTCTTCACCATTCTACTGTAACCCCTCAACAGCCCAAATCGCATAGCTCCAGATTCAAGGGCAGTTCTTTCAGTTGCGCTCAATGGAAACTTTGTGTCCTGTTTGCATGTCTTCATGTCACACTGGCTGGTCTAGGCCAGGGCCAGCATTTGGGAGCCATTAATGGTCCTTAAAAGCCCTCCAGGCTAGGGAAGCTCCCTTCCCTCCTCCTGCCATTAGCTCTTCCTACCAGACTCCCCTCTCTGTACAAAAAAAGTGGTGTTTGGGATGAATATGTGCTGTTATTAATTATGAATTAATTCACACAGCTCCCACTCCACCCCCTATCACCCCTTTTTGTGTGGTTTGTGTCTCTGCTTTCTGTCATGTGAGTGTGATAGAAAAGTCCTTAGGTCCATTCACGTAGCTTTTCCACCTACAGGACACTGACTGACTGCTTTCTCCCCATCTCACATCCCAGAAACTTAACAGATAGTTCAGTGATCCTTTCCTTCCCCCCTGTTGGAAGTGCCTGCTTCACCCCTGTGCCTGCTTCACATGACAAGAACAACCAATGTTTTATGAGCACTTTCTAGGTACTAAGTACAGGTAAGCATTTTTTATGGATTATCCCCAGTGGTCTTCAGAGCATACCTATGAAGCAGGCATGATTGCCACTGTTTTCGTTCTACAGAAGAGACGGCAAAGCGACTCACCTAATGGACACCAAGAAATTTGGCGGCAAGGCAATTCTTCTATCCTCCCACCCAACTTCTCCCCTCTCTGTCTCCAGGAACAGCTCTGTGATAGATCTCGTGAAGATTTGGGCAGATGAGAAGCGATATTACTCCTTTCAGATGGACTGTAACCCACACTGCTCCTGGCTTTGCAGTGGTGTCTGCTCCCACTATACCCAGGTACCCCTTGGCCAGGACTAAGGGCTGATGGGAGGACAAATCCTTAGGAAAAAGGAAGTGGTGAACTGAAAATTAGACAAAACAGAGGCCCTTAAGGGCTTCCTTTTACACAATAAGCAAATTATTAGGAGGTTGTGTGTATGTGGAATGAGGAAAACTGAATCCTGTTCAAGGGCCCTGGTGGCTTGCCTGCTAACTAAAGTGTTGGTAGTTTGAATCCAACAGCTGCTCTGAGGGGGAAAGATGTGGTAGTCTGCATCTGTAAAGATTTTCATCCTTGGAAATGCTATGGGGCAGATCTATCCTGTTCTATAGGGTCACTAAGAGTCGGAATTGACTTGATGGCAATGGG